ATTTTTATTGCATACTAGACACACATGAAGAACCTGCCACAGCATGTCGTATCACACACAAGTATAATAAACTACATTCAGTACCTATGTACTGCAGTAGTAAATCTAATATTGTTGTACAGACGTATTTGCAACCCGAAACATACAACATTCGTTTTCAGACAGAGATCATCCTGTTGAAATTTACTTCGAATTAGATACGTAACAGTAATAACATATCAGCATAATAATACACAAGTGATTTCAGAATTAACAAAACACACACACACACACACACACGACTAATGTCGACAGGTCATGTTTGACACAAGACACTTGGCCTGTCGAAACTAGTGGTTTTTTTTTTCATGTTTTGTTAACTCTTTAGCCATTTGTACACTATTATGTTGATGTGTTATTAAAGTTTATGAATTTGCGCAAACTATTTCTTTAACTAGATATGTAGCCTCATTTCACAGTTTTATTCACTAGACTCCAGGTAATAAACTGGCCAAAGTCCTCAACCGTCATATCGTCAACAATAAATATTTTGAAGTATGTTCGGCAAGTAATTTATTTTCAAAAATAACTGCTTTCAAATTCGTGGAGTACAGATAAAAACTGAACAGTATATTCAATAGTATACCCTAACGATTTGACAGCGTATAAATAATAGCTTGCCTTTTGCGTGTGTGTGTGTGTGTGTGTGTTGCTGTTCTATTTACATTTTCGATTTTTCCTCTCGTTTTTCCTTCTACAGACAGGTGTCTAAGGCCAGTTTTATTGGCCTCTGTTTTCTACTGCCCGCTATCTTTTTCTTTTCTGCCTATTTTTGTTTGGCCTGTTGCTGGAAGAGATCTGTATCAAAAATACTCAAAAAAAAGTCTTAGAAAAAAAAAAGAAACTGAGTTTATCATGTCAAATGAAAGAAGAAAATCGACCTTAAGTTACCTGTAAACAGGGACATAAATATTTATCGAACTAAGTCAAATATAAAGTAACAAACTAGTGTAAACCGAAAAAGCCAAAAAATGAAAAAAATGTTCACTTTCGAAAAGTGATATTTCACAAAACTGCATTTTTTTCCCCTCTGTTAGGTTTGGCTCAAGATCGACAGACAGCAAGTTTGACCTTATCAAGCCCTAAATTTTGTCTTCTTTCTTTTACGTAATTTCCGGGATTTACGAAAAGGTCCTGATGTAAATTCTTCCTGGAAACTAAAATACTCCACTGAATATCACTTAAAACTATTCTTCTGTAAAGAGCCATGGCTTAACTAAAAGGTTTTGTTATTTTTCGTCGCTTTAACGTAGTGTTTACGACGGCAATGATACATAAACGACCTATAAACGTACACGTAGCAATCGGGTATGGGATTACCGGGCCTGTGAGTGGTACTTCCCTACGAAACAAAACCCGTCTGACCAGTTTGATAATATTCTACTGGTGTTCTGTTGTTTAGACATAAAAATAACTCATAAACAAGTAAATGCGGAAAAAGTAGGGACTATCCGGTAACAACCACGCTGTTTATAAGCTGTAGACTGCACGTGATATGTAATATGGGTCACAAGGGTTAATTAACTACAAGTTTTGATATCTGAATATTACGATAAGTCCTAAATAACCCATGGATTATACTAATACACGGAGCGGTCTTTACAGCGGGCGAGTCCACAACTTTTGAGTCTCGTTGTCTTTAAATGAAATATGCATTCATTAGAATCTGTGATACAAAATCTGCTATTTTTGGGTGGATTTTCACATATGTTCGACATATTTAACACAATTGTGTAAACGCTTTTTAACACTTATTTGCATATCACTCTAGATGAAACAAACTTCAAATTCACAACCAGTCAATAGCTATACTCGCTCAATTGTAGGTGCCATACCAAAAAGGTAAATAATTTTTAGATATCCAAGCCGTCTGTTATGCATAACTTGTTCTACGAACACACGTTATCCGAGAAGTGGCCATATGAAGTAGAACCAATAAGAAAATAAGAAACGACCTCCAGAAGAACTTACTGTCGAGTAAAACTGGGAGTAAATTAATTAATGCCTTGTCTACTTTTGGCGCCTCCACCTATAAATGTTTTGATTATTTGTTTTGTGACTCATTACCCACTTAATGAC